CTTTTAATACTTAAGTACAAAATAAATCAGATACTTTAAGACTTTTACTCAAGTAATTTTCTTAAAGTCTCCTCTAAGAATATTACTCAAGTAATATTCTTAGAGGAGACTTTAACTTTTACCAAAGTAATTTTATGAGAAGATACTTGTACTTTTACTCAAGTATCACTTTGAGGTACTTCATACAACACTGTTTAAAAGTGAAAACATCAAATTTAAAAGCATTTTTTAAACTTTAAAGAAAGCTTGAAAAAACTTATTTCATTAAGAGATTTATTTTTTTGTTTGTGTGTGTTTGCTAACAGGAACACACGACGCACGGCTGAAGTATGGATGGACGATTTCCGTCTGTTTTACTACTCTGCTCGTCCTGCGGCTCGAGGCAAATCCTACGGAGAGTAAGACATTAAAACTCCGACACACGTCACAGATTCACCTTTCAGCAGAGATCCGAACCTTCAGAGATGCGTTACGTTCATAGAACTTGCAAAGCTACTCAGACAAATTTAAATTATTGAGCTTAATCACCATAAAAAACGAGATTCCTGTTCAGAGTTTCAGTGTAAATATGACATCATCGGCATGAGTGTTTGCATGAAGTCGTTCAGATTATCTGTGTGGAACATGTAAATACTGACATCTCGTCTCCCTGCAGTGTGATTTTTAGTCTTTGCTCTCCTCTCTGGTTTATTTTATGGTCACTTCTGTCTTTCTGAGTTGCAGTGAAACTGTTTATCTGATCACGTCTGTGCTGTTTCTGTTTTCAGCGTTCGAGGCAGAGTGGAACTTAGGAAGAAGCTCAAGTGCAAATCCTTCAAGTGGTATTTGGACAACGTCTACCCAGAGCTGAAGTAAGGATGTGTGTGTGTGTTTGTGTTTGCGTGTGGGTGTGTGCAGGAAAGGTTTGCGCTGAGTATGCGAACTTAAAAGAGACATTTTGTTAGACTGATGCCAAAAATTGGCTTTATTACCATCTGTGCCATTGTTAGAGAGAGATTATATTTTTCAYGTTTTGTAATTTTTGGGTGCTGTTGTAGACTGCTGCTGGGTTCATTCCAAAAAAAATGTTTGCTGGTTCATCTGTGTCGATGTGAACTTATTGTATGAAAAGATGCAGGCCTGCAGGGAGGTTTTACTTCAGCTTTAAGAGGTTACTGAAGCGTCACTCTTAAGCCTCCCTGGTAAGGTCTATTCAGGGGTCCTGGAGAGGAGGGTCCATCGGATAGTCGAACCTCGGATTCAGGAAGAGCAGTGTGGTTTTCGTCCTGGTCGTGGAACACTGGACCAGCTCTACACCCTCAGCAGGGTCCTGGAGGGTGCATGGGAGTTCACCCAAACTGTCTACATGTGTTTTGTGGACTTAGAAGGCGTTCACCGTGTCCCAAGTGGGGCCTTGTGGGGGGTTCTCCGG